TTTTTTTGTGCAAACATGTCTTACCTAGAAATTGTACCCAGACCAAAATATACTATGTTTCAAGTTAGGACCTACTTTCTATGGAATTCATTTTGAATAGTCAGGAGAGAAAACAGAGGACAATGCCAAAGAGAAAGGTTATAGTATACCCATCAATGGATCATTACCTAGTATGAAAATAGGAAGAAGCACAGAAAATAGAGCTAAACAGGTAAAATTTGCAGGGTCACTGGAACATCCTGAGCATGAATGGAATAATCTGAAAGTGAAATAATTTAGGACAAAAGCCTTGAGTTTGCTGTATGCTTATTAATCTTCCTGTTTCCCATGGTAAGCTGAGATTCTCACTTTAGTCATCTCTATGTTTTGCAATATGGTAAAAATGTTTTATGATGAACCAGGACAGAATGTCTTAGCACTTAGACACAATGTACCTTACACTGTTATCCTAGCCAAACATCATTCCAACAGTTTAGGACCGCCAGTGATCAGCTGAAATATTTGGTTTGCACCATGAGGCTCAGGAAGGATTTTTTCTTTTCACCTTATTCCAGAGGCACCATGCTCACAGACTGTGTAAAAAAATCTTTTTTTTTTAATTTTTTTTTAATTTTTATTTATTTATGATAGTCACATAGAATGAGAGAGAGAGAGGCAGAGACACAGGCAGAGGGAGAAGCAGGCTCCATGCACCGGGAGCCCGATGTGGGATTCGATCCCGGGTCTCCAGGATCACGCCCTGGGCCAAAGGCAGGCGCCAAACCGCTGCGCCACCCAGGGATCCCATGTGTAAAAAAATCTTAAAAAAAAAAAACTTAAAAGAAATTTTAATAGAAAAATTGCTTTTCTGTAGGAGAGAGCCACTGAATGGTAATACCCACTCTGTCTCATTTTCCTTAGTCTCATCAATTTCTTTCTCCCCTAGAACACTGTAACCACACCTATTTTCTCTGTCAAGCATTATTTTCCTTGTTTTTCACTGAACTCTTCCCTAGAGAGTGTATTTGTTAGGAATTAATTCTGTTGCAAAAGAGAGAAAGCCAACTTGAAATAGTTTAAAGGAAATGTATTGGCTCACCCAACTTGGAAATCAATCTGAATGGTAGATCTACATGTGTAGTTAGATTAAGAGGCTCAAACTTTGTTATTAGACCTTGGTTTTTCTTCATCATTCTGCTCCATTTTTCTCTATCCTGGCTTCATTGTTGGTGGGCTCTTGGTAGGGTCTAGAAGCTTCAGTTAACATGGATACCTTTTTCTTCCCATTGCCTTAGCAATTCTTCCACTTTTGGGAGCCATGACTGATTCTTCTTGGGTCAGGAGTCTACCCCTGCACCAATCTCTGGAGCCAAGGATATAAGTTGATTGGCCAGCCTAGGTCACATGACTACCTCTATGGTGGAGAGATAGGGTCTCTTGAATGACAAAATCCCCCAAAAAAGAATACCAAACAGGCAGCAGAGTATGCAAATTCAGACAACAAACATATTGAGGTCTCCCTATTTTCAGGCTCCAAATTAGTTTCTAATCTCCCTTCCTTGTGATTCTTATTTCTTGATGTGAATTCTGAGCTGGGAATGAACCAAGACTCAGAAACACCCATCCAGTTCTGCCATGTCATCCCCAAACCTGAGATCCTGGAGGGAAATTTTGGGATACAAGACAAATGGGTAGAGAAATACTTTATTTTGAGCCACTCCAGAGCAGTTGTCCTAAGCCCCTGAGTGAACCACTCTGTGTGGTTCACTGGACTGGGGATTTCCACGGAGAAGAAAGTGCCACCACTCCACAGAGCTGTTTGTATGGATTTATTCTTCCTCAGAATTGCACCATCCAGAATAGCATTCCAAAACATGGTCTTTACCACCAATAATGAAACGGATGAAATGTAATGTTCCATTCTAATAATACAGTAAAGTTTATTTGTAGGCACTTATCAGCTCCTCATGTAGTAAAGAAATCATATTTTCACTGAATGTTTTCCAATTTCCTCCTTCTTACCCTGGGTGTGTTGTAAGGTTCACCCACTTTCCTGCTTCCAACATTGAGAAAATATAGAAAAGGAAGAATTAAAGAGGGTGAGGGTGGGTGAGGTTTTGTATGCAATTGTGTATGGTGCTGTGTGACCAGATATTACATGTACATTATATCCTGCCCTTGAGCAGAAGAGCAGAAATGGGTGGGTGAAATACTTTTTGCCAAGAGTCCTGTTGTTAAATCACCTGTTTGTTCACCATTCTGTCAAGTTGTGGACATATTGAAGGTTCCCCTCTGTCATTACCTCTTATCAGTTTCTTAAGGTAAACCAGGGACACCAATACTGGGCAGACATGGGCTGGGCCTGGAGGTGTTTTATATGTAATGCTTGTCTCTCTTGTTTTCTGAGAAATTATAAATATTGTGCTAAAATGAAATATGTTTGGGAGTACCTGGCTGGCTCAGTGGGTAGAGCATGTGACTCTTGATCTTGGGGTCATGATTTCAAGCCCCACATTGGGCATGGAGCCTACTTTTAAAAAAAGAAAGAAAAGAAATATATTTTAATGCTTATTGATACTTTCAGGTAACAATCTCTGCTGGTTTAAAACACGGTCTTCCCAATGAACATGCAGTGGCACACAAGATTCTCTCCTCTTCTCCTCTTGTCCTCAGAATCTGGGTTCATAAGGGTTGGTGTATTTGCATCCTCTCTACTCACTTGGCTCCCTTGGATTTCTCATCCTTACTTCAGCTGCAAGACTAAGGCTGTCCACCAGGTGGCCTCTACTGCAGCAGATGCCCACCTGCCCCACAGGTACCCTGATACTTCATTCTTACTTCTTTCCCCTATTGTCTCCAGGAGCCTGGAGTCTTTTCCAGACCCCAGGGAGTCAAGATGGGAGTGGTGGGAAGAGGTTAGCAGCTAAATAGACTGCTTTCTCTAGCTAAATAGACCACCTTGTGGTATACTTCCCTCCCAGGTAACCACAAGGCAATGTGGAAGCCCTCCTGGGGGAAACCAGTTAGGAGCTTCTCTGATCAGGATCCTTAGACTCTTCTGGGTCTGTATTGAGCACCAATACAGGCTTGGGGAGCCCCAAGCCTCATGGAGTTTCCATCAGAACATAAAGCAGGCCCCACACTCAGGTCTTAACCTGATGTCTCCAGCCCACTCCCACCCCCACTGTCCTCAGAGATCTTTCCCCCTCCTTCTGTGGCCAGACTGCTTACTCTGTGGCCTAGAGCAGAGGTTCTCAAATACGGGTATGCATCACCTGGAGGGTTCAGTACAAAACAAGTTGCTAGGCCCACTCCCATAATTTCCAATTCAGTGCAATAGAATAAAACTCCCTAGTAATGATAATGGTACATAAATCCCTGGAACCTGTGGCCATGTAACCTTATATGGCAAAAGGGACTTTGCAGATGCAATTCAGTTAAAGATCTTGAGATAAGGAAATTATTCTGGATTATGTGTGGGCCCAGTGCCATCACAAGGGTCCTTATAAAAGGGAAGCAGAGTCAGAGAGGAGACCAAGGAAGCAGAGGTTGGAGTGATGCAGCCACAAGCAAAGGAATGCAGGAGACCTTTGGAAGCTGGAAGAAGCAACAAATGAATTCTCCCCTAGAGCCTCCAGAAGGGATGCAGATTTGCTGACAACTTGATTTTAGCCCTATAGGAGCCATTTAAGAATTCTGACATCCAGAACTATAAAATAATAAATGCATTTTGTTTTAAACTGCTAAGTTTTTCATAATTTGTTACAGAAGCCATGGGAACCTAAAATATGATTGCATTGGCTCCTGAGAATCTGCATTTCTAATCAGTTCTCGGGTGATGCTGATGCTGTGGTCCAGGGATCACTTTGAGAACTGCAGGCTTATAGTGAAACACATAGTCTTCAGTCCTCCTTCAAATTCTGGTTATACAAACCCTTTAATCTCTCAACATCTGAAGTATGCAAATGAAAGCTTTGGCCTTGACAACTCTTATCTCCAAAAACAATGGAGAACTACCGGGCAGTTGGCATGACTAGCCATTAAAACTTTATCATATTAATACTATCATAACTATTTCTCTCACCATCTTATTATTTTGTTTTGAGGGGAAACTGCAGAGCATTGTCAGTTTATTTATTTCCCTAAAATCTCCAGGACATTGGAACATAGAAAAAGGCCTACACAACCTAGGGAGGAAAGGGGCTAAGGGAGGTTTGCGATGTCTGGACCTCTGCTTCCCTCATGTCAAACTGCTATTTTTTCTAATTCCTTTTACATTCCCTCTGTTCACCAGCTCCCCCCACTTTTACCTCCCCCTGGTAAACTTGACCCCACCTCTCTTGGTATCTGACCTTGCTCCCTTTGGCTGGCTTCTCCAGGTAATGATGCTGGGTTTTCTATTCTGGGATGCTCAGATGGAGGTAAAATTGATGGCTACTATGGACACCAAACCAGCAACTCACATGCTGTGGGTCTGCCAAAAGGCCTCTGGGGCCCTGCTTGAGTTGGGAGATCTCATCCTATTATCTCCAGGGCTCCAAATAGAGGAAAGGAGAGGAGGTGCACAGAGCATTGATTACATACAGGAATTAGTACCTTGTATACAGTAGGTACAGCAGGTTATCAATCCACAGTGAAAAAAACCCCTTTTGACTGTGGTCCTGCCCAGTTCCTCCTCCTCTTTTTCCTTCTCTACCTCATTTTTCCCACCATCTCTTCCTCTTCCTCCTCTCCTGGCAGGCAGTGAGGTCCAACCTGGATTTCAATTCTAACTGCCTTTGCCAGCAATGTGACAATGCACTAACAACTTACCCTCTCTGATCCTTAATTCCTTTACCTGTTACATAGGGGTGGAGATACCTACCTTGGTTCTCTGATGAGAACTGGATGAGAGAATATCTGAAATGTATCCATGCAGAGTAGGCACTCAATTAATGCCCTTCACGGTGGTCATTTCTACCCACCAGCCTTCTCACCACCAAGTCCTATTCAACCAACAGAATTCACAGGGAACGCAAGGTAGGAAACCACAGCTTTGTCTACTTTTTTTTTAAGTTTTCATTTATTTGAAAGAGAGCGATAACGAGCAGTGGAGGGGCAGAGAGAGAGAGAGAGAAGCAGACTCCCCGCTGAGAAGGAAGCCTGACTCTGCAGGCTCAATCCCAGGACTGGAGCTCATGACCTGAGCTGAAAGCAGACACCCAACTGACTGAGCCACCCAGGCACCCCAGGAAACCACAACTTTAATGGGAAGTTCAAGTTTCCCTTTCATTTCAAGACTAACATTTCCCACATATTTGCCCATATGGCTTATTCTTCAGTTAGGGCTGCTTAATGAGTGCTCTGGGCATACTCCCTCTAACTTCACACAATTTTTTGCTAAAATAATCAAATATGCCAGTAGGACTAAAGGAAACAAAGAAGAGCAAACAATAAGCCAATGCCCCCGGTGCATAAAAGGCAAAGGGGCTCTTAGCAGACACGGCATGTCGGATGTCCTGGAGCACAGGGGATATATCCGTGTTGGTTTTTATATTGATTAACTTCAGATAATTCCGTTGCTGGAGGATATAATCCTTGCCATAGTCCTCCTCCACGTCAGAGCTAAGGTGGTCCAGGATGTTCTTTTCCAGCTTACTCCACATTTCACTTGTGCCTGCGATATCTGTGGTGTGAGAAGAAGGGAGGCTCAGGTACTGGGGAAGCTAGATCAGCACATCCATCCTCTACCAGGGAAGCAGGCCCCTGTGAATTGGCTTCTGTTGGAAAGGACAGCCATTCCCAAATGCCTTCTTTTTTTTTTTTTTAATGTGCCTTAAAGGGTATTGAGTATATTTTTTCAACATACATACAGAAAAGTTCACACATGACTGGGTTTCCACAAACTGAAGAGCCCATGCAACCAGCTGCAGAATGAGAAGACAAACCGGCTTTGGAGCCCTCACTCCCAGCCCTCTTCCCAGGAGCCACTGTCCCAATTAACAGAACAGATCAGTTTTGCCTGGCTTTGCACATTATGTAAATGAAATCATACATCCTGCTGTGAGAGTCATCCATATACTGTGTGGTCATTCCCACCTCTGCAGTTTTCCATTGTATAAACATGTCATAAACTATTTATCCATTATACTGTGATGGGCATCTGGGTTGTTTCCATTTGGGGACTCTTACAAATAGTGCTGCCACAATTGGGGCACCTGGGTGGCTCAGTGGTTGAGTGCCTGGCTTTGGCTTAGGGAGTGATCCCAGGGTCCTGGGATAGAGTCCCACATCAGGCTACCCAAAGGCAGCCTGCTTCTCCCTCTGCCTGTGTCTCTGCCTCTCTCTCTATGTCTCTCATGAATAAATAAATAAAATCTCTTTTAAAAAAATAGTGCTGCCGCAAACATTCTATTACATTCATTTTCATGATTACTATATACAATATAAAAGGTAATATATACAATATAATATATATAAAAAAATATATGCATATATATATGCAGATACATATATACATCTATATATAATTTTTAATTGAGAAGTGAAACCTCTTCTATATATAAAATTAAATATACAATACTGACTATCATCTATTTAATAAATATAATTTAAGCAATATATAATAAGTATAATTTAAGTATACATTTAAATTTTAACATATAAATTATATGTGATTAAATATACCAACATTTAATATAGAAGCAATGATTACTTATCATATACAATTTAATTATATATATTTACCTTAAAATATTGTAGCAATGCCTGCTCATTATATAAAATAATAAGGAGATGTATATGCTTTTAAAATTAATCTGCTCCATGGTAACTTACAGTTTTGTGTATCTTTCTATATTCTCTCCTTGTTCATACAAACATATATAGCCTATGTTTAATTTTATATTACCAAGAACAAACAAAAACCAAAAAGGATCATAGTTGACATGTTTTCCAAAAATTTGCTTCTTTGTTTGCTTAGTAATAAATCACAGACCTGCCTCTGATAGTCAATGGCTACAGATTTAAACCAGAGCAGCAGAAATTTCCCATTGAACAGCTTTTAGGCAACCACTTCTCTCTGAAAGGACTTTTCAGTCATTCCCAGGCTTCAACATCTCCGTTGACATTGCTATAAATAGCCCTGCACAATACATCCTTTTATATTTCAGCATTTTTTAGTCTACAGGCAGCTCCCACAATGTGGTTACCTGGTCAAAAGGCACCTGCATTTTGAATTTGAATACCTGCCAGATTACTTTCCAGAAAGAATGCAGCACCCTGAGCTCCCTCCTGCAAAGTGTGTGATTGCTCTGGGATTGCTGTGGAATGAGCCTTGGTTCACTAGTTTGGGGGATTCCAGGATATCAGGTCAGTGAGGGAGCCTAGTTGTGAAATGTAAGCCAGGGACATCCACTTATACTTGCAGAAATGCAAATAGATTTCAATTGCTCAGTTTTTTTCGTGAAGGCACAAGACCACACTTAAAGAATTGATTACCCTAACAATTGCTCTAGGGGCTTCTGGGTCCTGAACGAAATATTCCTCCATTGAACCATTGTTCCTCCAGCTACCTCTCCCTCAGTCTCTTTTCCAGGCTGAGGGATCCCTTTTCTTCTCTACTTCCTCCCTCTTTACACCCCGCATGGACTTTCTAACCACTTCTGTGGGTACCCTGTGCAGAGTTTCCAAAGCTCCCTTTATCGGTGACAAAGCCACCACACTTTTCTCAACCTTCATCTGCCACTTTTGACACCCACCCATCCATCCCCTGCCACTTTGGGGCTATGCACAATGAATCTGTCAGGGTGACCTGGATCCAAAAACCCCATCTCTGACTCATACTACTCTATGGCTTGGGAAATTTCTTAACTTCTCTGAGACTCAGTTTTCTTCCTACTAGATGGGAATATTATGATACCTATCTCACAGATGAGGATTCAGTGAGATAGTATATGTAAGGTGCTTAAAATCTGCTAATTATGGAATATGTTTTAGCTATTTTTCTTACAAGAACTAAAATATCTGGTATGTCTCCTTGAATGTCTTCAGAAGCTCTCCTTGTCTCCCTGAAGATTCCTACTCTTGTTCTCAAGAACAAGAGTAGGAATCTACTCTTAATTCTGCCCCAGCTTTGAGCATCATTCTCCAAACTAGAGTCCTCAGCCTTCCCCTCTCTGGCCCTTTGCCTTAAAAGAGCCCATCAGAATCACCTTTAGACTGAGGGCTGCCTGGTATAAAAGAAAGAATGGAGCACTGCACCTATGGATCTGGCTTTCAAATTGCCTACCACCAAAGTGTGTCACATACCCAGACAGGGGTATGTATCACCACCCCACATTAGCATCCTTACCTGGCAAATGATGTCAATTCTTAAACCTATCTCTCAGAGCTGTGGTGAGGATTAAGACATATATGAGAAAGATGGGAGTATAAGTTAGAACTATATTTTTAAAAACAGCTTGGGATTACCCACCCAATAAAACTGAAGATAATTAGGGGTGTCTGGGTGACTCTGTAGTTAAGTGTCTGGCTTTGGCTCAGGTCATGATCCCAGGGTCCTGGGATTCAGTCTCACATCAGGCTCCCTGCAAGGAGCTTGCTTCTCCCTCTGCCTATGTCTCTGCCTCTCTCTGTGTGTCTCGAATGAATGAATGAATAAATAAATAAATATCTTTAAAAAATAATCCTGAAGACAACTAAACTCCATAATCCAATCATTCCACTCTTAGGAATGTGTCATCAGTAAATCACCTACATGTACACCGCAGTACATGTCATATGCCAAAGAGTCATAACTGAATCACTCGTAACTATCCCAAAGTGACCCAAATATTCCATCAATAATAGAAAAATTATAAATTAAAAAAGAAAAATAATAGAAAAATTGTGGCATGCTCACAGAATACCGTATAGCAATGAAAATGAATTAGCTATAGCTACAAACAACATAGATGAACCATGAAAACGTAATGTTGAATGAGAAAAGCCAGACAGAAAAGAACACATGCAGGCTGATTTCATTCAAAGTTCAAAAGCCAGTAAAGCCAAATTCAATTGTTTGGGGATTTATGGATGGATATAACAGTGAAAAGAAAAGCAAATGAACAATTGTTTTCTTACAAAAAGTAAGAAAGTAGGTACATGTCAAGGAAGGGGAGAGCTAGGATTAGAAATGACACTGGAGCTTCTGGGTGCTCACAATGCTTTATTTTTTTGATCTGGATGTTAAGTGCATGAGTTTTTATAGTTATTGTTAAACTATGTGCATATAAGATATATTTCTCAATTTTTAAAAATGGGGGAGGGCTCCTGGCTGGCTCAGATAGTGGAGCTCATGACTCTTGATCTCAAGGTTGTAAGTTTGAGCCCCACATTGGATGTAGAAAGTATTTAAAAATTTTAAAAAATCTTTAAAAACAAACAAATAAGTACATTTAAAAAATAAACATAAAAATAAGGGGCACCTGGATGGCTCAGTAAGTAGAACATGCAATTCTTGGTCTTGGGTTTGAAAGTTTGAGCCCCACATTGGGTGTAGAGATTACTTAAAAATAAAATCTTTTTTTTTTTTAAGATTTTATTTCTTTATTTAGAAAGAGAAAGTGTGTGCATGCGTGCATGCATGCATGAGTGGGGGAGGAGCAGAGGAAGGAGAGAGAATCTCAAGCTGACTTCATGCTGAGCAGGGAGTGCCATGCAGGCTTGATCTCAGGACTCTGAGATCATGATCTGAGCTGAAATCAAGAGTTGGACACTTAACTGAGTGTGCCACCCAGACGCCCCCAAAATAAAATAAATATTAATAATAATATTAAGAGCAACAGAATCAGGAAATGATGTATGGAAAGTGACTAGCACTTGAGAAGATCAGGTCCCCCAAAATATCAGCTCTAACAATTTTGGGGACTCCTCAAAACTATAATTAACTGCAGGGTTGCCTTCTGGTCCAAATGGAGTCTTTTGTTCTGTGTTGGAAGTTTTCTTTGGCTGTGTCATCAAATCCTCAACCTTCCTACCAGGTTTCAAGTCAAATTCATCATTTTTGCCTTATATTACCTGTCAGCCAGCTTTCCTCTCTGCCACACCTTCTATCCCAGTGTCTCAGTCTGTCACCTTTGGTATCATCTTTGGCCCACTGTCCCATTCCATCACCTCTGCTCCACACTCCTCCCCGTCCAAGAAGTCTCTAGGTTGGAAACCTCTCTCAAAGCCTCCTCTTTCCCCCATTCCTATGCAATGGTCTAGCCTGACAACCTGAGTGGCCCTGGTTTCTTTCTCTGATTCCCTACCAGAACAACTCCTTGACTGACCCATGCTTTTCCAGGACAACTCTGTGGTACCCAGGCTGCCAAGTGCTTCAAGACAAAAGTTCAGTTTTTCTTTCAGATTTGTTGGTTTTGTTAACTTTTAGACCTCAAGGTTCTTCTAGTGTGTTAGCAAACCTTTCCAGTTTGTGGTCTTTTATTAGGCATGCTTTTTTTTTTTTCTCTAATTTTCTTTTTCTTATTTTTTAAAAAGATTTTATTTATTTATTCATGATAGACATAGAGAGAGAGAGAGAGAAGGAGAGAGGCAGAGATACAGGCAGAGGGAGAAGCAGGCTCCATCCCAGGAGCCTGACGTGGGACTCGATCCCAGGACTCCAGGATCACACCCTGGGCCAAAGACAGGTGCTAAACCACTGAGCCACCCAGGGATCCCCCTCTTTTTCGTATTTTTTATAGGCATGCTTTTTCACATTTTCACTTAAATCACCAATTAAATGTTTGATGACTCAGAGCTAAGGACCGAGCCACAGGGGTAGTCTGCATCTGCTCAGAGTTCAGGAATTCAGAGAGGTGAGAGGAGAGGATGGCCATCTCCTTCCAGGGTAGAAAGGGAGTGGGTTATATTTTTCAGAGAAGAGAGGATAGTGTTTGAAAAACATATGACATCAAAACTGAATTCCTTTGTGGAAGAATACAAGAGAGCAACCATATATTGAAGAAACTGGGCCCTGCTCCTTTATTTTTAAAAGAGGCGCATCCATCCCAACCCCTCTTTGGCCAAGCACTGAGGGGTTCAGTTTAAACTCTTTCAGAACAAAAGACTCTCAGCATCCCTTTCAAGATGATACTCTTGGGCTTAGACACCTACTTGTTCTGAAGCCTCCAGGCTGGATGACAGAGACTTTAACTCCCCATTTGGAAAGCTCTTGTCTCATGACTGCTGAAAACATGGTCAGAGCCGCCTTGGATGAGCTATAGGCTGCCAGCTTTTCCATTGGGACCCCTGCTATGGAAATAAAGAGAGAGAGAAAAAATCAGGTCTGATGTTTTCATTTGTTCATCCACTAAGTATTTAAACAGGACCTACTACATGCCAGGAACTGGAATCAGTGGTGACTAAGGCAGACAAGGGCCTTCTGTACCCAGGTGGGTGCCTATTCTTGGTCACAACCTTGGTCTGGCTTCCTTCGCTTCTGCCTTCTATACTGCACCATCACAGCTGATCCAATGACAAACCAAGTGTAAAGGTCAATCTATCCTGGCTTCTAAGCTAAACGTGATTCAGGCTGGGGCAGATAAAGAGGATCTGCCACAGCCTTGGACCTTCCAGTTTGGCCAGCCACTATTCTGAGGTTCTGGGTGGACATATCTGGAGGAAGGGGTGGTCAGCCCAATCTAGCACCTGTAGTTGAACAAATTGGGTCTAATACTTGTCAAAACAAGGAGTAATGCACACCATAGGGAACCATGGGACTTCTTTGTATGAGGAAGTGAGAAAGGGCTTATTCTAGGAGAGCTAGTTAGGGCTGTGGAGATGCTCTTTATTGCACCTGGATCACACTTAGCTTAGAAGCTGGAAGAAACTGATCCTTAACCTGGGTCTATCATTGGACCACATGTGTAGGAGGAGTTATAGAAAGCAGAGGCAAAGGAAGCCAGAGAAGTCAAGTGACCTTAATTGGAATAACAGTCTGCAGATGTAATTAAAGGACAGATCTCAAGATGAGACCATCCTGGATCAGGATCGGCCCTGAATTCAATAGGTTTTCTTGTAGGAGACAGAAAAGAAGACACACAGAGAAACAGGAGAACAGACCATGTGAAGATGGAGACAGAGATGGGAGGGATGCTGCCACAAGCCAAGGAATGCTTAAAGCCCCTAGAAGCTGGGATTGTCAAAAAAGGTATTCTTCTCTAGAGCCTTTAAAGGGAAGTGGCCCTGCCAACACATTGATTTTAGACTTCTGGCTTCCAGAACTGTAACAGAACAAATTCCTGTTGTTTTATATCATTGTAATTTGTTACAGCAGCCCTAGGAAACGAATACACATGTATTCCTGGTGTTCTTTAACTGGAAGATAATTGAGATTGGGAAGGGCTGAAGACAGGGCTCACAGCATGCAGGGGACCTCATGGGGAACCCAGGGTGACTAGACCAACAACATTAGGGCTCTCAGCTTTGGTCAAGATTTCTCTAGTCAAAGAAGCAAGCATTGGGTCAATCGCTAAACCAATTCAGATACAGCCATGCAATGGAATACAAATCAGCCATTTTAAAAAGTTCATTAAAAGGAATGCACATAAAGGGCACCTGCCTGGCTTTGCTGGTGGAGCATGCAGGTTGTGATCACGAAGTTGTGATTTTGAGCCCCATGTTGAGTTTAGAGATTACTTAAAAATAAAATTTCTTAAAAAAAAAAAAAAAGAATAGGGACACCTGGGTGGCTCAGCAGTTGGGTGTCTGCCTTTGGCCCAGGGTGTGATCCTGGAGCCCTGGGATTGAGTCCCACATCAGACTCCCTTCATGGAGGCTGCTTCTCTCTCTGCCTGTGTCTCTGCCTCTCTCTCTCTCTCTCTCTCTCTCTCTGTGTGTGTGTGTGTGTGTGTGTGTGTCTCATGAATAAATAATATCTTTTAAAAAAAGAATAAACTTGATACATACAACAGCATAAATAAGTCTCAAAGTAATTATGGTGAATGAAAGAGCCGGACAAAAAAAGCGTATGTGCTGTATGATTCCATATATTTAAAATTTTAGAAAATGCAAACCAATCTATAGTGATATAAACAGATCAGTGGTTACCTGCAGTGGGATGGGGAAGGATTAGAAAGGGGGACAAGGAAACTTTTGGGGATGATGGACATGTTCACTATCTTAATTATGGTGATAGTTTCCTGGTTGTATACATAGGTCTAAACTTATCAAATTGTATACTTTGAAGATTTTATTTTATTTATTAAGAGAGACAGTGCAGGAGCTGGGGGAGGGGCATTGGAAGAGGGGAAGAAGATTCCCTGTGGGGCATAGAGCCTGATACAGGACTCGATCCCAGGACCCCTAGATCATCACCTAAGCTGAAACCAAGAGTCAGAGGTTTAACCAAATGAGCCATCCAGGAGCCCCACAAATTGTGTACTTTAAATATGACAGTTTATTGTATGTAAATTATATCTCAATTTTTTAAAGAAAGGGAAGGAAAGAAAAGAGAAAACGAAAGAAGAAAGGAAAGAGAAAAAGAAAGGAAAGGAGAAACAACCACCACCTGCCTTTTGGGACCATAGGCACATCAGGAAATGCCAAAGATGACTTCATAGGTATTTTTCTCTGCCTTAAATCCCCGAGAATATTTGCACAACTATCTGGGCATGGGTGGAGGATATCCTGTGTTCTCTGCTCTTAACTTTTCCAGGTATCTCTGTCCCACCAGCTTTCCCAGCCTTCAGTGATTTCTCACCAAACCAAACATGGGTCCAGTTTCCCACAATTACTTGTCTTTGATTTTCCAACTTCAGAACTTTGAAAATGATTCCTTTCCTTTGCCAAAGTATCTTTTATTCTTCTAGTTGGGTATGTTTCATCCATGGGAGAATATCTTCCTAGTCCTGAGTTCTCTTGGCCTGAGTCCTAAGTCTATCCCAAAATTAAAGTTGTCAATGTGCTTGAGACCACAAAATATGGCTCATATCCATATCTAACATTTATTAAAGAGTGTTTATTAAGGGATACTTAAGTCATCACCTTATGGTCTGTATAGAGGGTAGGACAAACACTTATGTCTTTGATAGGCTTTCAGCTACCTCTTCCTGGACCCCATAAAACACTGAATTCATTTCTGCACACAAAGAAAGCATGACTGCAATGACCATGCTCTGGTTTCTTAAAGAACAGTCTTAGTAGAGACATTGGCCATTTCTAGCCACTTAATGAAACCATGCCTTGAGTTTGATTATCTAGCCTACAATGCAATTAAAATGAAAATGAGGTGATAAAATGTAGGGAACCAAATATACACAAGTACAGGTAAAATTGGGAAAATCTGAATAAAATTGGTGAATTATCATTATCAGTATGCTGCTTATAATATTGTACTATGGTTTTGAGAAATTCAATCATTGGAGGAAACAAAGTAAAGAGTACATAAGATCTCTCTTTATTCTTTCTTAAAACTTTAGATAAATCTATGATGATCTCGAATATTTCACTTAAAATAGAGCATAGAATCTTCACTGCTGTGTTCACTGCAGCATTATTTATAATGGCCAAAACATGCAAACAACCTAAATGTCCATCAGTGGATGAATGGATAAAGGAAATTTAGCATATATATGCAATGGAATATTATTCAACCATTAAAAAGAAAGGAAATCTTGCTGTTTATATTAACATAGATAGACCTTGAGGATCTTGAGGAAATTGAGGGCATTATACTAAGTAAGATAATAGAAAGAAAAGAAATACTTTATGAGCACACTTACGGGGAAATCTAAAAAAAAAAAAAATTCATAGATACAGGGAACAGATAGGTGGTTACCAGAAGTAGAGGGTGGGGTGAAATAGGTGAAGGTGGTCAAAAAGTACAAACTTCCAGTAATAACACAGGTAAGTGGGACACCTGGGTGGCTCAGTGCTTGAGTGTCTGCCTTCAGCTCAGGTCGTGATCCTGGGGTCCTGGGATCGAGTCTTGCATCAGGCTCCCCACAGGAAGACTGCTTCTCCCTCTGCCTATGTCTCTGCCTCTCTATGTCTCTCATGAATAAATAAATAAAATCTTTGAAAAAAATAACAGATAAGTTCCAGGGATATAACATACAGCATAGTGACTATAGTTAATGACACTATATTGTATATTTGAAAATTGCTAAGACTAAATCTTAAAAGTTCTCATCACAAGAAAAAAATGTATCTATGTGAGGTGATGGATAGTAACTAACCTTTTGTGGGCATCATTTTGCAATATATACATAGATCAGTATATTGTGTACCTTAAACTAATACAATGTTATATGTCAACTATATCTCAATAAAACTGGTGAGGGGGGATGGGGAGACCATAGGCATTGAAGAGAGACCTAAAATAATTCATGTCAATTATCATCCTTATTCTTACATGATTATTAAAGCTTTGGCCTGGCTCACATAATTTCCTTTTGAGAAATACTCATCCTTACCTCCCTCTTTCTGTAGGAAGACTGTCGATCAATGGTTCTGCCTTTCTCATTGAAAGGGGTAGACTGGCCCAATACAATACTCCATCCCCTGGACTGGGAGATTGAGTTGGGGCTGAGCATGTGACCTCAACTGAGTCAGAGTCCTGATGATGGTGGAAGGGAAGGGAGATGACCTTATTGTTTATTCCTGGCTAAGTAAGCATGATCACAGTAGAAAACCAGAACTCCCAGGGGGCACTTCTGCTATCACATTGGAGACAGTAAGCAAAGGGAAGCAGAGAAGCAAGAAAGGGAATGCAGAAGTTGTGGGGGGGGGGTGGTGAGGAGGGAAACAAGGAGTGCAGGTGGGGGATTGTTATGATGATCCCTTCTTAAAACTTAGTTGCAGTCAGTTGGTGAGCTAATAAATTCCTTTTCCCTCTTCTGTTTTAGATAGTTTGAGGGTTTGACTCTGCCACTTAAAAGAAAGAGTCCTGAGGCTTAACTGATGAAATTTCAATACAGCATCTGGCAATAAACATTAAATTCTGGTTCCTGTCTTGCCTCAGATAACCAGCTGATTATTCTTGTTGTTGTTTGTGCCTCAGATAACCAGCTGATTGTTTCTTTAAAAAAAAAAAAAAGTTTTAAATAGGCTCCACATTCAGCACGGAGCCCAACCTGGGTTTGAACTCACCACCCTGAGATCAAGAACTTGATGCTCAACTGACTGAGCTACACAGGCACCCCTAGCTGATACTTTTAAAAGTCATCTTTAGTTTTACAAAATCTTAAGAGTTCCATATCTAACTTTTTACTTCACCTGGTGAGAAAGGCCCATGAAGTTAAAGCAACATA